TATGGTCCGCTGGTTTATACGCAAATGTGAGTCAAGAATCAGGGGTATTTTAATCGATATTAGAATGAGAAGGAGAGGTGCAGTGTGAACGCACAAGGAAACAAATGATGGGAGGGGAGGGTAGCCGTATTTTATTACATGACTTGATGCACCTTTGAGATAGTACAAGATGCAAACAACTGCCTTCTAATTATTAGTTCAAATTTCAAAGGGAGTCCAAAACTTGACTCATGACACTGGTAGCAAATGAAATTTTAGATGAGTCACAGTGAGGTAATCCAATTTTTCAGCTGCCCCGTATATTCACTGGGATCTTTCAATTGCTCACCCTCATCTATAGGTAGTTTGATATTAGGATAACAGGGGTATCAATTGGTTCAGTTTCAATATCAGAATGTCATTCAAAACATCTAGGACTATATCTATGAGAAAACAAAATTTCCAGCGTAGCACTTTTGCAATACTCTAGAAGTACCATAAGGACCAACATATTTAGTTAAAATTTTTTCTTTCAAAAAAAAATATTTAGTTAAAATATTGTTTGAAGGAAAACCTTCTAACTCTTGAATCCCCTAGTTATCATTACCTATCCTAATGATGGTATCACCAATATACTCATTTAGTAACTGTTCCCCACTTTGGAGTGGCGATTGAAGTATTCTGTCATCCCCACTTCAATGCAAACCAAACTCCATATGAGTTTTACTAGACTTCATAAATCAACCACTAGGAAACTAGTTCAACTTTGATAGAACTTTTTGACAGCAAATCAACTTGGACACACCTTGAATAGAATACTCTGGCAGTAAGAGGTTGCCCTATGTAAGTAGCTTCCTCCAAGTCATGATTCAAAAATGCTTCTTTCATATCTAATTGGTCCAAGGGCCTACAAGTTCGCTCAATTGATCCTATCTCTAGTAGAGAAACTGATTATCACAAGACTGTTTGTTGAGGATGGAAATCCAAATTTGTTTTGAAAATCTTCGCAATATGATTGGATTTAGATAGTTTCTGCTGCTTGTTTAGCTAGTTTTTTGTTTGTCTTTTCTCTTGGCTTATTTTCACTACCTCTTTTGATTCCAGAGAGGTAATTGATTTTTCAATTGGGGCCAAGTCTTTTAATATTTTAGAGTGGACAGCAACCTCAGGTCAGTGTTGTATTGGAATTCTCTCGAAGCGTAACACTTATCAAATTTCATTTCACAAGAATGGTTGGCTATGGTTATGCAATGATTCTTTCTTACACGCATATCAAGTTAGAGGTTTTCAACCTGTGTTAATAGAGCACGATGGTTCTATTTATCTTTGTTGGAGTATGC